AGGTCATGAACAAACTTTCCATGCATGAGCACGACAGTACTGTACATCCAACTTGATTCATAATTTCACGGGGCATTCCTTTATATCACTGTAAATATGATTAAGGTAGGAAAATTCGCAGGAATACTGTAGTTTTGTTTTAGGACGACGATGACTCCATGAATGCACATTAATCTGTCTGCGTATAACTAGACCTGCGAGCGACATCTAGAGCGTTTGTTTAAGAATCGGTGTTTATATCTTTACCCTCGCACGTCTAGGTAGCGATGAGAAATCATACGGAACGTAGACCATAGACTTGCATAGAGTACTGAACTCTGTATGGAGTAGGACACTGGGCATGAAGGTCAGGTACAATATAAGCATAACTTCATGCGGTCATTATTTTGTGCAACACGGCAAATTTTTTTTTAAGCACTCAACAATTACGAGAAATAATTTTTACATCGAATGCTTTTAGTTTTGAAAGGGTGACAGCGATTCTTCAACGGTTTCAGTACATTAAGGAAGCATTTTGGCTCGCAGTTATACAGCCATAACATTCAAGATCATTACACATGCATATTCGCTCGAAAAATCATTTCGTATCAAAACTGATTTCCTGGAAAATAAAAAAGTATCTCTGATAATAGTTATGACGCGGCATATACCTGCTATAATACCTTTCTACCAATGGCAAAGTCAGTTTTCAAATTAAAATGTTTGCAGGAACATCAAACTGCTGCTTCAGTTTGACGCACACTGTGAAAATAATAAGCATCCATATTTTACAGGCAAAACTGGGCACTTGCAAGTTGTCTAGATGTCACTCATATCCATGGCTCTCGCGGAAGTTTGATCAATGAAGCAACAAATATATACAGTATATTGATCCGACTTGAGAAAATCGCTGGTGAAGGTTGGTTGAACCTTGCGGGAAAATTCCCAGTATCGCCATAAGCACATTCGGGTGCAGCCGCTGAGCTATTTCAAGGAAGTCTGCGTATGAACAGTAATAATACACATTCCAGGAAAAGTCAAATTGTAATTTTCTTCTAATGAAGTAATCTTTTGGAGAAAACAATGCTCACATCCTCAAACCGTGAATCTTTTATTCCTAGTGTCAGTTGTCGGAGTTGGAGTCGCCGTGGAAAAGGTTATGAAAAAAATCATAAACACAACTTCCTGAATAGGAATATCTTTTGAAAAGCTTAAAAGTCATCGAAAAATCATCCGTCTTCGATTATTTATGTGCTGAAGAAATGACTGGTTCGCCAGCAAAACTCGCGTATTGTACTGACACTGAAAAAAGTGTGGTGGTCAATAATTTCGAGAAGCGCGGATGGTTTCCAGTCAGTGCAGATGACGACTGGAATTTTTACTGGTGAGTAGGAAAAGTTTTACTTTCTCTTGGAATTGAATCGTCGCCCAACATGTCTATGTTATGAGTCCTTCTCCTGAATCAACCACCTAATTTTGGCAATTTTTTTCTTTTGATTGACTTGCGGTGCGATCTTGATTTTTTCAAAATGTATACCCCATATAATTTTCAAGTTCCTGCAAACGCATACAAAAATCTCATAGATTTTTCAAGCCCGAAGGACAATGCCTTGATTCAATATATTCATGCAAAATTATACTTTTTCGCTCGTAAGAGACCGTATGGAAAAAAAAGTATCCACGACCAATAACGAATAAAAACTTGTGTTGATGCTTCAAGGTGTTGTTCTCTAGAAAAAAAAAATATATACGAGGGGTCTAACACATGTTCAGAGAATTTAAATCAAAACTGCATATGATTGAGTTGAAAAGAAATGATTTTCATGAAGAAAAAAAAACATTCTCTGGTGATCGAAAATGAATTTAGCGCTGTCTGAGAAGTTTCTCAGAAAATTGTTTAAAAAGTCACCCTATGAGCAACACTCTTCTGTCGAGATCCTAAGAAGAAAGCAGGTGGGGAAAGTGCCAGGTGAGGCATATAGGTTTAATTTGCCGGCTCACGCTGGTCATGGTACCTTCTGCTGATCACTCAAAATATGAGTTTCACATCTTTTAGATTTGTTGGTGTCATCCATTTTTCCCTCCAGAATTCCTAAATTTGGCGTATTATTAATTCCGAGGGTTGGTGCCAATTATCGATCATTAATTCCGCCGTCTTCATCAACAATCGCCTTATTCACAGCCATCACTTGGCCTGAATAATGTGAAGGCTGCTGGTCACGAAAATGGCGAAAGTACCTAGGAAAACTTGTAGGCAAACCCTTGGAATTGATGCCATGTACTGTACATGTGAAGAATTCTGAAGGAGAAGTTGGACAAAATCAAATATTTTTACGACGTGGGCACATCTTATTTTGAGTGACGAGCAGAAGTGTGTCAGCATGCAGCTACAGGGTGACTTTTTGCAAAAATCTTCTGAAAATATGCCAACCGGACTTTTTTCTTGTGCCACATCAGCATTTTTCAGAATAGAATTTTCTTTCGAACTTGATCATGTCGTATCGCTTTTCAATAATGTATATTCCGGGCACATTTCAAAACCCATCAGCATTGTACAGAGGAGAAAACGCAGTAATAATCAAATATACGCGTTGGAAAGTTCCAAGTTCTACATATATGCAAAGAAGCGCTGAATAGTTTCAGTGAGCTCATCAATGCCTAATTATCCTTTCATTAAAAGTATGGACAAGCTCCGTCCCCTACATACTCACTCGATCTGACGAAAACCAATTCAATCATGATTCCAGGGCGGGGCCGCAGACTTGCAGGGCTTTGTTCAGCGTCGACAGCGGTTACCGCATGAACGACAACCAGTGAGTTAGCCAGGCTCAAAGAGTCATTAAAACTGTATCTGGGTCTCATGAAAGGAAGAATGGTATGCAATACTGTATATGTGCATGCTCGATCGGAAATTCCTTGATGACATACGCAATAGTCGAGGATCGATCTGCATGTAAGAGGGGAGGTTAAAAATGGCCCCACGCGGGATTTTCGCGATGATGATTCTGGCGGAAGAGAAATACAAAACGCGTCAATGATGACTTGCGCGCTGGACGACGGGGGTTTATTTCTCTCTCTCTCTCTCTCTCTTTTGTATTCTTCTCTGCATATATTTCGCCATCCGGAAAATGAGGATCATTAATCATTTCCCGAACCATTACGAACTGACGCGGAAAGATCTGATGGTCAAAAATCTGAAGCGCTACCGCAGGGACCTGGAACGGGATGGCAACCCTTTGGCTGAGAAGGGCCCAAATGGAAGGTAATTTATTGAGCACAAGTTTGGATGCATTCGATAGAAGAAAAACTATCACGCCATAATATTGAAATTCGTCTTTTAAATCGACGCTACGAAATGTATTTTCCACGATGACGGAAAGATACAGTGAACCCTGACATCGTAAAGACGATTTGACTTGGGGGTATTTTGCACTAAAATAAATGTTCCCCGACTCCTCGACAATGTCTCAAAATATGGATATATTTTAAGGAATTCTAAAAAAATTGACTCACCTATTTTTCTAGATTTTAATATCGCCTCAACAAATTGAGCTGATTATATTGCCAAAAATTGACGATGAATTCCATAATGAAAATTCTCCGATTCACGTTCAAAAAGAGGCTAATTATTTACTTATTCCATGGATTTTTGTTTTAATTTCCCGGAGTTTTTTTCCGTCATTAGCAGTATTGCTGGATTTGTTTTTGTTCTTTGTTTCCTAAGCTCCTTCTGATTGTCGACAGCGGGACAGATTGTGTCTGGCTTTATTCTCAACAGTTATTTTCTTTAGCTTCAAGTTGAAAAAACCCATGTGATGCAATTTCGGGTACTTAGCCCAAGTACCAATTATGTCCGCTCCTACAGAAGCCTCATCACTGCATTTCCTGCAGTCGACTTCAACTTTCCGTGGTACTGAGGACACTATTGTAAACCTCAGCAATACTAAATGAAGTGTCCTTCATAATTGAATTTAGAATTCAAGTATTTGATAATAACAGGGATGAGTGAACAATATTGTGTCTATGGCGCGAAAATGTTTCCGGCATTCTGAACAAAGTACCCGCAGCATTATTATCCCGGCAACATTCAAAAAAAGTTTCGCGAATAAGCACATACAATGACGTGTCTATAAAAGCAAATAATTTTTTGGACTTGGGATAAATTTCTTGAGCATCATTGTCCAATCATTCCAGGTTCAGACAGAAGCGGAATCGCCGTAATACTGTAGCAAGAAAATTGATGAGTGATGAGAATGCATATTTTTTGTAGTGTTTTCGTCCTTGCATCAAGTGTCACACTGTTGTCAAGCAATAATTTAAGAGGCGTGCATAGAAGTGAATAAACATTTATATATGCTTTGTCATACAAGTCGAAAGTTTGATTCGATCTATGCAGAGTTCTGTGGATGTTCATGGCGCTTGATCTTCAAAATTCCCAAATTTTCATTGAAACCAGGTATCTTTATTTGGATTCGATCCCGACGACTTTCATGCTTCCGTCGGATTACAACATGTTCGTCGAAGAATTCCGGAAAAATCCGTCCAGCACTTGGATCATGAAGCCTGGCGGAAAATCTCAAGGAGTCGGAATCTTTCTCATCAACAAACTTTCGCAATTGAAAAAGTGGTCGCGTGACTCCAAAACACATACCTTCAATCCTGCCTCAGTCAAAGTGCGTAATTTTCTTTGAGTTATCCTTCGGCAAAAACATCAATAAAAAGACAAGAATATACGCTGTCGTGAATACAGTAAAATCTCTTTACAAGAATGGATTTCTAAGGAAATTGACGAGAAATCCATTCAAAATTGTGTCGTATCAAGATTCGTGACTTCAAACTTTTTTAGACTGAGTTTTGCAAGAAAATTGCTGAAAAATAGTGTAACCTGCTTTAAAAAAAATTATTCAAGACTCAAGACCTGTCAGAATTTGTAAGTCTCTCCGATGAAATCAAGCGGGAAATATTTTGAATATACAGTATATAATAATACATTTCTCTGACCGAATTTTTCGTTCTACAAAAATGCTGCTTTTCTTGCAAAGTAAAATGAAAAAAATGCATGCATACTTATGCTTCAAATGCAAATGGTAATTCATTCTGAATAACTTATGCGTACCTCTTCATACATGTCAAACTGAGAAGAAATATTTCCAACACGTAACACTCCTTTTTTCTAAAGAATAAAGGCATACATGTCATTCTGAAATGGAGCTGAAAAATCCAGCTTCCAAGAAATTTGTAATGTGTCTACTCGAAGACTGTATTTTCTTCGCTGAAGTTGGAATGCTGCGCCAGTTCAATTTTTCTCCAGCTTTCTGTCATTTATCAAAAAATCACTGAGGCACCTGTATAAATCATCAGGGCCGAAGATTCATTATACGGAGACTTCAGCCTGAAAGCCGTTCATTAAAATCATTTTTTAAATGCTATTTATTGCGCCTTTATGGAGAAACTGCAATGGCCAGGACACAAGTTTGTCATTACAGTAAAGTTTGTATTACAAAATTTGTTGTAACGGAATGTTACTTCAAAACATTAATCGTTATAATTTGGTGGGTGCTGAGGATAATTTGTCTGTGTTTAATTTTTTCTGGAATGGTTCATTATCAGGAGACTTACGTGATTTCGAGGTACATTGATGACCCGCTGCTGATCGGAGGGAAAAAGTTCGACCTCCGAATATTCGTGCTCGTCACGTCCTACCGACCACTGAAAGCATACATGTACAAACACGGTTTCTGTCGCTTCTGCACTCTCAAATACGACACGAGTGTCGAAGAGCTCGACAATATGTTCGTGCATCTTACAAACGTTGCCATACAGAAGCAGGGGGTCAGACGAATACAATTTTTCAAAGTAAATCGAGGATTTGGAATTTTGACATGTTTCGATTTGCAGGAGGAATACAACGGAATCCACGGAGGAAAATGGAGTGTTCAAAATCTGAGACTGTATCTCGAGGGTTGCAGAGGGAAGTACGTGACAAATAAGCTCTTTGATGACATGACCTGGCTGGTCGTTCACTCGTTGAAGGCAGTGGCACCCATCATTGTCAACGACAGACATTGTTACGAGTGCTACGGCTACGACATTATTATTGACAAAAACCTGAAACCTTGGCTCATTGAAGTAAGTATCTATTGAACTCTTCCTGGAATCTTGATGCGAGAAAAAAAGTTTCACATATAGTTAACGTTGATATTGAAGGAATACAGTACAATCTTGTAAGGAAGAATTTTCGGGGACTTCAGAGAAAGTTTGTTCTACTGAATAATTTGTTACGACATAATTTTCAAAATTAAAGACGGGAAAAAATGTCAGGTCATACCTGCATGTAATATTCAGTTAGATCTTACTTTTCTGGCATATATCTTCTCCAAGTTCTCATAACCGCTTCAAAAACGGTTTGATCCTCCGGAGACAAATTAGCTTAATAATCCTGCACGTCATCCGTTGCACCAATCTCTTGATTTGATGGGAGAATGTTGTTTTGAACCACTTTGAACGCGATTGGCAGTGATTAAAGATACGATATGTGCAATAATAAGAGGCCATCAGTCACATTTTGGATTTAAAATTTCAGACTAGGCCTGCCTTAGTCAGGAAATTTCTTGGAGAATCAGTTAAACATTCCTAAAAAAATTTCTATTGGATAGTTTGTTATAATAAATTTGTTTTGAGATGTATCTATGAGGTTTTTGACTGGACTTGGAAAAGTTTAGTACATCTAAAATTTGTCGCAATGGTTTTCGTCGTAAACAGATTTTCCTGCATGATTTTTTTTTACCCCAACGAAAGATATTTTTGGTTCCGTGAACATTTGGACCGTGAAACGTTCCTTATTCAGAGAAATCCTGTAAATTCATATTTTTAAATGAGTTTTTTATTTTCACATGTAAGGAAAAAAGCGAGCATGAAATATTTGTAGCTTCTGGGAAGGAAGCTGTTCTGCACGAGCAGGCCTAGAATGAAAGCTGACGTAATGACATAAATATTACTTGAAACAATTTGCACACATTGTTCTTCTGGGAAAAAATACAGAGCATATTTCATTTGCAAAGTTTTTTGCCAATCAGTATTACTTCCTGTTTTTAGGTCGACGGTGGAAGTAAAAGAAATGTGCTCTCACGAAATTCATTTCTAAATTCTCCTGTAATATAATACTCAATTTCACATTATTCCAGAAAAATATTGATCCCAGTGTCCTGGGAAACATAACTCGAAAAGTAAGAGCCAAGACACTGTGTCATATTCCGTCTCGTCTCTGTCCCCATAATCCGTTATCTCTTTGTGACGAGAAGAAAAGAGGAACGGCGATGATTGACGGAAGGGTTCTTCCAGGTCAACGCGTCCCCGTCGCTGACCTCGACTACTGCCAACGACAGGATCCTCAAATACAAGCTCATCGATCACGTCATCGACATTGTGCTCGCCCCCGGTGGGATCCCTGAGTAAGATGAATCGACGTACGGAGTAGAAAGCCCCACAGGATGTTTGATCAGGCTACCGGGAACAGAAGCAGCAAAGGCGTCGCAACCATCGCATCTCTCAGTCCAGTTTACTCAGATCCGATGCTTTGTCTTCTTCTGCATTGTTTCTAACTTATCCACAGACTCCTGCTCTTATTTTTCCATATATTTCCAGATTTTTTTTTCAAATGAAGAAATAAAGAGGAAGAAATATTTAAAGAGATGCAAAACTAGCTAGTTTTTAAACTGCGGACGTGCACTTGGCGTCCGAGGATGTCTTTTTGATCAAACTATTCTTGGCTAATCAAAAGAAAAATGCACATGAAATTGAGGGACAAAGAGATGCATTTGAAAAACACAATTTTTCAATGAGAAGATGTATCACGCATGAAGTGTACGGCAGCTTTAATCAAACATACGCTCTGTTTGGACCGCGTATTACATGAATCAAGAAGTTCTTCTAATTTGATCAACGCATGCTTTATAATCGTAAGCTGATGTTGCGAGAAAAATCTGGTTCTATTTCTTCAAGATTTTCCCATCATTTCTGTTTTTCCTTGCATTGACGAATGTTTCGCTGAAGCTCTCTTGATGTACTTAAAATAATTAAAGCGTACACTTTTCGTCTGTTAATTCGAAATATTTTTGGGTAATTTTTATGCTTCTTTTTCACCCGGTTATTACACCGTGTGGATAATTACAAAAAACCTCCCCGTTTGGTGCACAAAAACTTGCAATAGATTCCTGCTTTATAGCTGTGTTATTCAGCAACCCTTTTAGATCCATCAAAGTCTGAAAAATTCCCATGAAATTTCCTGCGGACTGGCGAATTTCAAAGAAATATTTGCAGACCAGCAGATATTTTTTCAATATAGTACCTGAAAAAAAGTCTTCCAACCAAAACTTTCATTTCTAAAATTAATTGAAGAGCCAATGAAGCAGCTATACACATGAAGGTAAAATGTTTTCAATAGTTGGAAAGCTGGGCGTCAAAAAAGGTATCTCGCAATGAATACTTGAAATAGTTCATTTCAGCAAGTGAAAATTTATCAGCAAAAAGCCAACTTTTTTGTCATCAGATAAATTCAACTGCCATGATCATTCAGAAATTTTAAATTAGGATTATAGCAGAAATCATCAATAATTCATATCGATTTATTATGCTGGGAAAAATTTGCGGAAAAAAAGAATTCCGCAGACCAGTGCTGGTCCACAGACCATAAATTGCAGATCATTACTGTACTTAAAATAATTTCATATTATAAGCTGTATCTTCTGATCTTTCGTTTCCAAGAAGCTTCCCGTCAACTCATCATATTGATTCACTTCAAACTTCGACGCGTCTTACTGAGATTCCTTGCCAATCACTAACTCACTCACGGTTCGCAGTGTTCGCTGGAACAAAATCCCGTCCCCGGAAAACCTGGGTGACTTCGAACTGATGCTGGACGAGGACCTGGTGGCCATGCAGGAGCAGCAGAGCGGCAAGTCAGGTCCAGGGCTGGCATCAGGCCCCAACAGCAGCGGTGCTTCAGCTGCCACGACGTCAGCGTCAGCGAGAGGCTCGTCGGCATGGGCAGCGGTGCCAACAACCGGCTGGATCTCGTCCGCCTCGACAGCGCCCAGCTCTGAAACCCGGCCATCGCCAGCAGCTTCGAGGACCAGGAAATAAGCCCCCTTTTCTTTTTTGCTCCTGCGACGAATGTAGGAAACTTGTGACAATAAACCAGGAACAGCAGTTGTGTTAATTTGAAATAAAAGAAGAGTATAAAATATTCTTGAAACATCATAAAATGAAATGTCACATTGTTCCGAAAAAACAAATACTTGGTAGAAGAAAAACAATTATGCCCTATTTGACAAATTTCATTTTGTAGTTCGTCTTGCAAGAGCCAACTTATGCTAGCTTTCTGGTCTTTGCTGAAAAAAAAGAGGCACACATCTCTCAATTTTTTGGTCGAGCCCAGTTTCTGTTTCAGAATTCTTGAAATAGTCATGCTTTGATTTTGAAGGTTTGCCTTCAGCCCTTTCAAAAGGTAATGTCGCTGTTTTCAATAGGAGCCGCTCCATTTTCAACCCCAAGTGTCAGCTGCTGTGAAGACGGTTGTTGATGAAAATATGGAAATTAATAATTAATTAATGGCGGCAACCCTATGGGAATTAATATCAGGTTAATTTTTAGAATTCCGAAGGAAAGCTGGGATACGTCGAAACATCTGTGAGATACTGGGTGCATCATATTTTTAGTGAATATCTAAAGGGTTTCAGGATGACTTTCTAAAAAATTATCGAAAAAATATCTTTTAAATGGACGGAACCTTTTCTGGTGCGTAACAGTTTTTTTTCTCCAGCTCAATCGGGTGCAGTTCGAATTGCCATTCAGATAACATTTGTTGGACACCTTATTGCACTTTCGATTTTCAACAGGGACGGCTTCGACTTCTTTTCAGGCGTCCATCCAGCAAACGCGTAAAGCTAGGATGATTTCTATTCATTCTTGCAGAAAAATAATCCGATTGCAACTAAATTTGTTGTTCATTGCCATATAATGATGCATAAACTTTCACCCATTCAGAAGGAAATAAAAGAGTTTTATTTTTTGAATGTCTTTAATGTTCCTTCGTGCTTGACGGTTCCTAAACGAACTTTGCAGCAAAAAGTACTCGAATGTGCGAATTGATTTCGGAAATTCACACACAAAGGTCTGAAGCTTGGCTGAATTTGATTATTTTTGAAAGTAGGTGTGCCACTGAATAAGTTGCGTGAAATTTTGCTGGAACGATTCAGAACATACATAAAAGTGGTATCAGCTAATTTTTGATGATTTCGATGAAATTTTCTCAATTAGCCAAGAGTTTTCCTACAATTTTCATTAATTCCTCAGAACAAGAACTTTTTCAGGGGCTCTTTATTTTTCCAAATAAAGGCATAAGTAAATTTTGAAGTGATGAAAAGATTCCCCAACAAATACGCACGAGTGAACACAAGCGGGTTTCTGTGTGGAGAGAATCAAGCTCACGCACATCAGGAACCCCTGGTTTTTCAATTCCATGGGAAGCCCGGGAAGAAAGAAACTCTGGTTCTTCTCGTTTCTTTAATCCTCGGAGTTTGCTATCTCAACCGCTGAAAAAAGAAAGAAAAACCGTACATTTCAGCTGGTTAATTGGATCGGATCATTTGCTCTGAAGTTCATTTTTTTCCAATCTTCTATCAACATTTTCTTTTATAACTTGATCATGAAAAAGTTTACCCAAAATATGTCGCAGATTTTTTTTAAATCTGCGAAAATTCCACGCAAGGGTTAATTGAAAACTGCTGGACAAATTGAGTTATAGTCTTGATTAATGTGATTGTCGCTTCATGTGAAGCAATCAATATAATTACCCCGCAGATTCGGAAATATTTTTTAAAATGCTAAGTGATTTGACGATCTCTTGACAAAGTCTTTGCGATGATGGCATGAAACCAGGACTCAAGACAGTAATTATCTTAGCGTACATTCCGACTTTTTTTTTTTGCTGCAATAAAATCCAAAATTAAAGCCGCCAAAAGAAATGTTCAATTCTCCTCGTATCGTCGTTCTGTGATCTTCCCGAAAATTCCGGCCAATCCTGCGTGATGTGTCCTTCAAATCTTTCCTGTGTCTTATCCTTGAATGAAGCCAGGTACCCAAAAGCTGTATACAAACTTCCAGGAAAATTATGTATTCACCTAATATTTCAGGAGGAAGCTGAGAACACCCGAGTTGGAACGCACCAGGAGGTATCATGCACCTGAAGGAAAGATTTCCGAGTTATTCCAGCCTGTGTTGCGAGGTTGCACAGAGTGAAAATTCGTTGAGTTGACATTATTCCTGGCGCCTGCGCTGGATTACAATATCATCTTCTGCCTGCTTTACGGTGCGCCTCAGGCATGCAGTTAAACACTGTGATGTCGCAGTTCCTGCCTAGCTGTGCCTACCCGTATTTAATGTACAGGCCAGTGAGTGAAATGGAGATACGATATTAGATGTTTCAAAGTCAAGTCGAGACGGTTAAATGTACGACACAAATCATCCAGGTTTGAAATCCTCATGCTGTTCCAGAGTCTGGGGTCCATTTATAAAAAAATTCTTGTCATTTTCGGTTTCTGTTTTGAATGTCCTCAAATTGTCATTCACATCCACACAATTAGCTTTTGCTGAAAGAGTACAGTATTTTGGTGTAGCAAGCTTCCTTGTGTGTGTGGTGAGGTACCGGGTCAGTCGCCAGCCGTTCAACTCACGGTCGCGCACCCGCCAGCCAGCAACCGCCGGTCCCCCCAACCGCCAGCCAGGGCTGTATAGTTGGTCTGCGGAATCCCCAGACCACCAAACCACGGTCCGGTCACCCGATTGTCGGGGCACCCAGAGGCCCCTTACAATCCCCGGCCAGTTGAATCTTGGCTCTAAAATCATGATCTCCCAGCACATAGGAGATCAAATAATGTTCATCATGTACTTTCCCAAAAAAAAAAAAAAAACAATTTAAAAAAAAAAATTTCGAGAAATCCCGGGTGCTGGGCGCAGAATTATTTTGCACAAAATTTTGTCTGAAAATTGAGAAAGCTGAAATACTGTAAAGCAAAATATTACTGAAATGGATGGTTCTGGGTGAAACAGTTTTTTTTTTACAATATTTTGGCTAAGAAATTTAAAATCTGAAAAATTGAAGACCACATTGTACCCAAGTGAATCAAGCAAATTATATTTAATTCAGAGGCGTGTTTTTCACAAATGAAGAGGCATTCTAACAAGAAAATATCACCTGTATATAAGATGACATATAAATAAATAAGTTGTGCATGAACAAGTCCTGCCAACAAATCGTATGTGTCAATGACTGGTGGTTTTCACTGATGCCTGAAGAAATATAGAATTTTGAAATTTTTGAAACTATNTATAAATAAATAAGTTGTGCATGAACAAGTCCTGCCAACAAATAGTATGTGTCAATGACTGGTGGTTTT